AAAAAAAAAAAAAAAAAAAAAAAAAAAAAAAAAAAAAAAAAAAAAAAAAAAAAAAAAACGTTAAAAATAATTCACATAAAACAATTAATTCAGAACTTTAATCTTTAAAATTCAAGACTAATGTAGAGTGGAAAAAATTTGTAGAGCTTTAAATAATTTACTTGACTTAAATAATTATCTTGACGAAAAAGATTTCAAAGAATTTTAATTTCGTCATGGATGCTCAAAATAAACAACAAATGTGGCAATTAACTTTACATACGAAATTTTACTCTGTGCATAAATTCTACCACTTATTTTCGTAGTTATAATGTCATCTTAATTAATTGGATTCTTTGTTTGAGGTCAAATTAAATTGTACGAAAAAAAGGTCGTAGGAGCTCGTTAAACGAGGCGGTGGCTTTGAATTTTTGGAAAAGAAATCGCAGAAACGTATTCATGAAGATTCTCATGCAGATGTTATCGGAAGTACAAAATGGTGTCGGAAGGCACGTAATTGTCACTGCAATTGCGGTGAAATCGGCGCGTATGGTGAAATCAGGTGCGAATCTTGCCCATGTCGTACCGGCGACGAAAATCCTTAAAAAATGTTTTTGAACTCCTTGATTTCGCAAAAATTACAGCGTGGCAATTACCAACGCTCCGCGAGCAGTTGTCGACGAGTGTGAAAAAAAAGCACTCTTAATTTTGTTCGGTAATTTTGAAATAAAGTATACAAGGCTGAAGCATGATACTCGTACAGTGTGAAAAAACAAAAGAAAAGAAAAAAAAGGCTACAAAGTGACACTTTGCTTTTGTACGTTCCCAGATTCGACGTGGCCGTTTTACGACTGGACAGACCGGTGCACTACATGCCTCACATAGCTCCAATTTGTTTGCCGGAGAAAAACGAAGACTTTCTCGGACAGTACGGCTGGGCTGCTGGCTGGGGTGCTCTTCAAGCTGGTAGGTATCTCCAACGCACGCTCCGTGTTCTACGTAAAATTGTATTTTGATGCTATTTAACATTTTCTGAATGTGTCATTAGGCTCGAGGCTACGACCAAAAACGTTGCAGGCCGTGGACGTGCCTGTGATCGACAATCGAGTTTGCGAAAGGTGGCATCGTTCGAACGGCATAAACGTGGTTATTTACGACGAAATGATGTGCGCTGGTTACCGAGGAGGTGGTAAAGACTCGTGCCAGGTATGGAAGATGAAATTTTGATTTTGTATAACAATACATAACTTAGGTATATTAGTAGGTATACAACTTGACTGTATCAATTTTTTTTTTTTTTCAAAGTTTAACGATTTTTCTCATCGGAAATCAAAATAATTAGGTTGTATTTGAAAAATAGTGCATTATAAGTATAATAAGTGTACACACTTTACACACATACGTATACCTTGAAAATAACAGGAAGAATTTTACTAAACTAGTAAGAATTATCAGATGGCAAATAGTAAAATTTTAATTGTCGAGTTAATAATATACCATTTATATAATATAAAAG